GGGGGGGGGGGGGGGGGGGGGGGGGGGGGGGGGTATCGATCAGCTAGCTTCACTCTTACTGCCCTCTCTAAATTGGGTCACTTTTTTCCTCTTTTGTAAGAAAATGGTTGAGTAAAAAAAAATGTTTGCCAAGGATTTGCAGTAATTATCTCCTCCCTGTATAGAAGGGGCACAGCGTGAGGCCGTGGTAAATTACACGTCTCCCCTCCCAACTCCTGGATGCTTTACGGCCGTGCATTATGCATAAAAATGTGCCAGAGCGCCTTAAACACCCCCCAAGTGGATTGAAATAAAGTTGACGCTGCTCTTTGTTTGGAGCGCTTTACTCGGCTGCTGAATCGGAGATCGCTGTGCCGAATAAAGAGGGGGGGGGGGGGTAGTGTTTGTCTTAATTATTTTTGGAGAGTTTTTATATGTTTTTATCCTCCCCAAAGGTTTGGGAACACCTAAAGTGTTTTTAGAGGGATTCCGGATCCAGATGTGAGGATGCTGGGGCGCTCCGCTGGGAAAAGTCTCTCGCAGTAAAAGCAGTTTTTTAGTTGTTTTTTTTTTTTTTTTTGCCTTAAAATAAGTTTTTAAAAAGAACGGGAAGAAAAAAGAAGCAGCTTCTCCAAAAATATGAGAAAAGCAGCAGACAAAATTGTAATTTGGGTTTCTACGGCCGACGTAGAGCTTCAGAAATCATGGCTATTGAATAAAGATTTATTTATTTTTGGACAACATGTATATCGCAGTAAACAAAAATATAACGCAATTTCTTTAAGGTGAATTAGAAAGAGCTTTGACACATGCAGCTGTGTTCGGATTTTCCTGCTCGGTGGGCGTTATTGATAACCGATTATTTATGAAGTGGCCAATTAATCGGCCGATCAAGAGTTTTACCCATGGTTGAAATGTCCCACAACTCTCATTACAACTCTTCAGTAAAAACTTTTAAACGACGATAACTTTTATTGAACTTGTAATTTTAGACTATAAAATATTAAAGAAGTTTACAGACTTGTATTTAAAGGTCTTAAAGCGCTCCTGAAACAGGTTATTAATAGTAAATACATGTTTTGCTCGGTTTACTCTTTGCAGCTCATGCCCATTTAAATAATAAAACTAAAGACTGCGGACGTTTGTTTTTTTTTAAAGGGGGGTTCATCCGCTTTTCACTGTTGAACAGTAGTTTAACGGGCGTTTTGTTTTATTTTCAGCGCAACAAATGCTCCTTCTCTGCCCAGGAGTGAATGGTACGAGGAAAGACGGTGAACCTGTGGTTTGGGGTCACCACAAGCAGGGCTTCCAGGGTGAGTCACTGACAGGAAACGTGTGCCCACATCTCAAGAAGCGCTCCTCGTCTGCTGCAGCTCATCAAACCAAAGAGCGACATCGCACCATGTCCTCCGTCTCTGAAACAAAAACTGCACACTCCAGCTTTTCTTTGAAACGTGTTTGATTTCATGTCTGGCTGGGGACAGAAGCAGCACGTGGCTGAGACGTAAATAAATACAATTAGTGGTCTGGAGATGATGCAACATCCTTGAAATTAACAGGTTCACCTTGTAAATACAGTATTCTCCTGTGTTAGAACAAGAGTCTGAGCAATTCAATAAAAAAGAAAAATAGAACAAGACACATGAGAGGCAGAAAAACCATCTGATCTGACCTGGACTCTACATTTTACAGAACTTTACACATTAACTCGTTTACAACCAGGAGCTGCAACAAGTTTATTTTCAGCCTTAAACTCCGCAAATGGACCCGAACTAGCTCTTTATCAATCAGGACCGAAAAGCAGCAGGAAACACAAGCAGCGGCTCGTTAATCAGAAAAGAGCGGACTCGAACCGTGCGCGGACACTCCGGTTCAAACGCTGCACCGACACGCGAACAATAATAATAAATGTACCGCAGCTGTCCTCGTGCACCTGCACCGGCGGCGACAAGCAGCGTCCGTCATATGAGGTTAGAATACCTGCAGGGAAGCTACGGAAGGCTAAGTGGGGAAAAAAGCCTGGCTCGGACTTGACTTAGAGCTCTGTGGGTCTTTGCTGCTCGTGTCGTGTCTGTGCGCGTGTTAGATGTGATACAACGACACGACGCGCCGCATCAGGTCACGGAATATAAATTAGTTCTGAGAATCTCGGGGGCGTGGCTTTTACGAGCCGCTTACGTCACCAGCTCGTCTGTGGACTCAACCAAACGCGGGGGGATTCTCGGTCCTCCCGGAGCCATTTCCAGCGTTATTTCTTCCAAATTCCTTCCTTTTCGCTCTCGTATAAACATCGAATGTTCGCGATGACTTCTTGAAAAATCTCCAGGCGTCATTCGTGCTAAAAACGCGGCTTTGAAACGACTTACTTTTGGGAAAGTTATAAAGACGCGCCTCTCCCCTGCGCCGGCGCGGTGGTACGGTCTCAGGCTCAAATTCCGAGAATTGTGCTCGCCTGATTCTTAGAACAGGGGTTCTTAGAAGTGGTGATGCAAGAAGTTTCTAGGAAAGCGCTACCAGGTGATTCTTTTTATTATTATTATTATTATTTATTTTGTTTTAATTTGGCGCGAAGTTTTCTGATGTAGTGTGCGCTGTTTGTCGGTGCTTTTAGACAATTGTCCGTTTTTGTGTTCGAGGGGGAGGGAGGCTGACAGCCCGGCTCTCTGACAGCTCCGCGGCGCCTCGGCGCTGCTCCGGGCTCGAACAGTCGCCTCCTGCCCTGCACCTTGCGGCTCCTGCGCGCGGTCGAGTCGTAATAAGAAGCGGACTCGTTATGTCGCGCAGGTGTCGCGCGCTGTCACACGAACTTTGCTCGTGGCAGCAGGTTGAGAATATTTACTCATAACTGACAGGAGCGGAAATCTACCGCGCGCGCGTGCGTGTTTCCGCGGTGGAGCCCAGAAGTTGTCTTTTTTTTTTTATTATTCTGACAGCTGCGTGAAGTTTGACGCAAATAAAATGAGAGACGGACAAAACGTCAGGCTGAAGAGTTTCTGTGAGCTGGTTCTATTTACGGACGGGTCCAGTTACAGAGTTAAAGATACCGTCATAAATCCTCGTGTGTGTGCGCGTGTTGTACTTTTCGCTGTCATGAAGTAATTGACCCAGAAACACAGAGAGCGCCTCTTTAGTGCGCACACGTTACAAGGAGGAGGTGGTCCGAGGGGTTTGTGCCCAAAAATAAAATAAAATGCAAAAAGAGAAGAAAGTTTGTTGCTTGTGTGAGAATTGTTCGTATAAGAAATTTTAACAGTTAATAAAAATACTGCTGAGCTCCTTCTTATTCCATGTGTTCAGAGAAACAACTTGTTTTTATGTATATGAATGTTTGTTCAGTGTCCTGACTTCTGTTGTGACTTGGCGCTTTATAAATGAACTGATTTAAATTGTAGTCCAGCATTCTTTAAAGAAATATATTATTTAAGTAGATAAACTGTTTATTCCCTGCAGGAGCTTATATTTCTATAAAGGTGTACAGAGGTTGATGTTCATGGTGAAGGTTTAATAAACGGCGCCTCCTTCTGGTGATTCATTTCTTCTCCTTTTACTGTTCATGTAAAAAAACAAACTTGAGCCCAGTTCAGTGATCTGCTGGTAATGAGGTAAAATGAATGAACTTGTCTCGTGTTGTTAAACTCAGTCATCCAGGTAAATACATCCCAACAAAGTTGATCTGGACGGAGTCACAAGAAGAGTCTGTCCACACGACCTCACTGAACTTTGTGTTTTGTTGTTGTTGTGTGCAGAAGTAGATAAAATGGCGTGCGCAGCAGACAGCTGCATACAGTTCACCCGGCATGCGAGCGATGTCCTGCTCAACCTGAACCGGCTGCGCAGCAGAGATATTCTCACCGACGTCACCATCCTGGTCAACAGGCAGCAGTTTCGTGCACACAAGACTGTCCTCATGGCTTGCAGGTGGGTGACTCTTCATCGTTTAGTTTGTTGTTGAAGGTAAACGTCTCTAAACGCTCGTGTCGGCCTGTTCTGCAGTGGGCTGTTTTACACGATCTTCACCGACTCCCACAAGTGCAACCTTAACGCCATCAGCCTGGACCCGAAGGTGGACCCAGAGGGCTTCGCCATCCTGCTGGAGTTCATGTACACCTCCCGTCTGGCGCTAAAGGAAAGTCTCATCATGGCCATCATGAATACAGCCATCTACCTGCAGATGGACCATGTTGTGGACACCTGCCACAGGTTTATCAAATCCAGGTCGGTAGGAGACGTTTCAGAGTAGATCCATGATTATTACTGGTCTGTTTCTAAAGCTTCTCCCTCCCACCGCAGTGATCCGGCTGCCAAGCTGCCCAGAGATGAGTTTTTGGTCAGTCCCTTGGTTTTACCTCCGGATGTTCACACGTACCGCCCTCACGACGTTGTTGACAGTTTGCACAGCCGCCTCGCTCCGTTCAGGGATGGAAGACCCTACGGCACAAACATGTTCAGCGGGGTCAGCACCCCCAGCAACTACCATCTGTACGGGCAGTTTCCCATGCCAGGATTCCCCTTCCCTCTCTGCAAGCTGACTGATACCAAAAATGCTTTTGCTGACCTCTCAAAAAGTGGGATCCACTACAAGCACTGTGCTCCTCTAGACAACACCGTCAGGGCAGAATACACCCGGGCACTGGGCACCAGCTCCTCCACCATCCTTCACTCTGCCTATGCTTCCAGGGAGGCGGGGAGAGACGATGAGATGAGGAAGGAGTGCCACGAGGGCCTTGGGCAGCCGATCGGCCTCAGCTCGAGGAAGCGTGCGTTTCCCGTCTTGACTCTGGAGCACCAAAAAGGCTCAGGCAAAGAGCACACTGCACAGGCAGAGGAAGACCTCATTCATCAGCACTATCCGCTGGGAATCTCCTCTGTGGGGCGCAAGAGTCTCATGAGCAGCCCCCAGAGCCCCCTCAAATCAGACTGCCAGCCCAACTCTCCGACAGAGTCCAGCAGCAGCAAGAACGCCGGCCTCTCTCATGTCGGTGGTGCTCAGGCCTCGCAGGGGATGCCCGACCCCAAAGCTCGTAACTGGAAGAAGTACAAGTTCATTGTTCTGAACCAGAGCGCCAAAGAAGATGAGGCGGCGATGACGGGGCGTCACTCCCCTCAGCGCCTTGGCCTGCAGCCGTACCTTCACCCCGGCGACTCTGAGAACCTCGAACTCCAAACGACGAGCAAAAGCAGCGATCACAGCGAGGATCTGCCGGTCCCGCAGACAAGTCGCCTCAACAACATCATTAACAGGTGAGACTGGAGCTGATCAGTTCCTGAAACACTCGTTCCATTTTAGATTTCTCTAAATGTTCTACTTTATTTTCATTCTGTAAACCAGTGCACTAGAGGGGTCGCTGAGGAGCAGCGACGGCCGCCCTCCACACTACCTGAACCGCCTGAGCTGCTCCACCTGCGGCTCCCGGTCCCCGCAGCACTCCGACATCTGCCCCAACAGCTCCCGGGCCCGCCTTTCAGAGGACATGGCCGAGCTTCACTCCGAGTACTCGGACTCCAGCTGTGGTGCGTTCCTCACTTTCATCTTTCACGTCTAAAATCGCTCGGCCACCTTCAAGCAGGGTCGTTTGATGTTTTTTCCTGTGGTCTCACCCCGACAGAAAACGGAGCGTTCTTCTGTAACGAATGTGACTCCAAGTTTGGTGACGACGAAGCTCTGAAGCAGCACATGCTTCAAGTGCACAGCGACAAGCCGTACAAGTGTGACCGCTGCCAGGCTGCCTTCAGATACAAAGGCAACCTGGCCAGCCACAAAACTGTCCACACAGGTAAAAGCAAAGGCCAAACAGAACTGCTGCTTATTGCACCTTCAGTCTTTGTTGTGACACTGAGCTGCTGTTTGCAGGAGAGAAACCGTATCGCTGCAACATCTGTGGGGCTCAGTTCAACAGACCAGCTAACCTCAAGACTCACACTCGCATCCACTCAGGAGAGAAGCCATACAAGTGTGAGACGTGTGGCGCTCGATTCGTTCAGGTGAGGACGCTCTCCTGGAACATGCGCTGCCCGTCACGTGCCTTTCTCGACTTTGTCGCTCAGGAATAATTGCTTCTTTTATTTTGTTGCCATGTTTCAGGTTGCTCATCTCCGCGCTCACGTGTTGATCCACACCGGTGAGAAGCCGTACCCATGTGAGATCTGTGGAACACGCTTCCGCCACCTGCAAACGCTGAAGAGCCACCTGCGCATCCACACGGGAGAGAAGCCCTACCATGTAGGTCCATCCCACCAACCGCCCGACGGGTCGCTTCAAAAACCCTCCGAGGTGGCAACGCGTCTAATAACGTCGCTCTCTTTTCGTTTTCAGTGTGAAAAATGCAACTTGCACTTCCGCCACAAGAGTCAGCTGCGGCTGCACCTCCGACAGAAGCACGGCGCCATCACCAACACCAAGATCCAGTACAGGATGTCGACGGCGGACATGCCGACTGACTTGACGAAGGCGTGCTAAGCTTGGAGGACAAAAAAAAAAGTTTCACGCAGGCAACCTCGACCTTGGCATTACTGAACGCTCAACTTGTACAATCATCCTGAAGTGTAGTGCCACACTGTGTTTGTTCGACAATTCAGCTGGCTGTTGGCCTCTAAACGGGTTTCCACTACATGGAGCCGCCGCCGGCGTCGTCACTTTACGGCTCCTATAGAAGGATTCTATAAACGTACGTATGTGTTGGAGTGTTTTGACGCTTTGAAGACACGTATATAAAGCTTTATTTTGAGATGGGTGAAATGTAAACAATGGTTTTGTTTTTTTTAAATACAGTATTTTATATCAGAGAACTTACTTTTCTGAAGGTATTTAACATTTTGACAGGTGGTACGTATATTTTAAGATGAATGGCTCTTCTGCTGTAAAAAGTTACGTTTTGATTTGGATGTTGTCAAGTTGCCATATTCACTGGGAGGGGTGGGAAGGGACAACGGTTGGTTGGGTTTAGTCTGAAACGTATGCATGAGGTACTTGGGTAGCGTTGTGGGCGTGCACGAGGCGTGTGTGCGCGAGGTGGTCGACTGCGTAAATCTGTGATTGCTCTCTGCTGGCAGAGCCAATCGTAGTATTGAACGACCAAGAAAAAAAAACCTGGCTTCAGATGTGTTTTGTACAGACGTGACTTTTGTTCTTTTTGTTCTTAAGAAGTGAAAGTTTACAGTTCTTTGCTCTTCGTTCCCGCCGTGAACTTGTCAATGTGAAGCGTCTCGTTTGTAGATACACTGTGGATTCAATGTGCCTTTCTCTACGGCGACTGAATTCTCTCGGTTCAGCCCGGCTCTGTTAAAGGTACAACTCAAGGACGCCACTTGTCCTCCATCCGTGTGTGTGTGAGTGAATGTGTGTGTGTGTATATATCTGTAAAGGCTTGTCAGTAACCTTAGAGCATAAAATGTTACCATTGTACATTTTCAACATTTTTTTGTTTTGTTTTTTTGGATTGAAAAAAGTTGCATTAAAGTTATTGTATGTTCTAAATGTATGAATGTAAAATAAAGGTACTAAATTTCTATGTATTAAAACCAGAGTTTGTGTTTGTGAAGAATTGCCACCAATGAATGGGATTTTACTCTAAGTGGCAAAAAGTAAAAGATTTGTAGACTTGAGTTTATGTATTGAACTCTGTACCTCAGGGGTTTTCACAACGATAATCCAGCTTGCATCAGAAACACCAGCCTTTCGTTACGTTTTCTAAGACTGCACGTTATCGTTTTGGTCGGGGGTTTAACGGTTGAAGGAAAAAAGAAAATCAATCTCCAGTAAACCTTAACGCTCGGTGACCGACTGATGGCGTGAACTTGTGTTCGTGTTCACACGAAAACCTCGTTTGATCCTTCCACTTCCTCCAGCAGCTGATTTTTATTTTATTATGATGGTTTGTGTCTCCAGTGTTTTATTTAGGGAATCTAAAAGGTTAAATTAACCCTTCACCTGAGGTTTTGAAGAAACTGTCAGCGCTCTAAGACAGAAGTCAAAGAGTTTGAATGTGTGCACACGTCACTCAGAGACGATGTCAGAAAATAATCTGTAGGTGAAATGAGACAAGTGCCTACATTTAGATGTAAACTGTACAATAAAATGCAATTAAAATACATTAAAAAAACTTGAAAGTAAGAAGTTTGTAAAAACTTTGAGAAATTTCACATTTTATGTGATCATTTGTTAAAATTGCCAAAATTCATCAAATTTACTGTATTTTCACCCTATAAGTCACTTTTTTGTTGCATAATTTGCATGCCCTGCGACTTATATGGTGAAGCGACATATTTATGGATTTTTCTACTTTATTAGACATATTTGGACTGATGCAACTTATAGGGCGGTGCGACGTGTACGGCAGAAAATATGGTAATATATATATATATATATATATATATATATATATATATATTTTTTTTTTTTAATTGGTAAACATATCGGGCAGCACGGCGGCGTAACTGGTAGAGCTGCTGCCTCTCAGCGAGCAGGTCCTTGGTTCAAACCCCGTTCTCTCCGTGCATGCGTGGGTTTTCTCCGGGTGCTCCGGTTTCCTCCCACAGACCAAAAACATGCATGTTAGACTGATTGGTAACTCTAAATTGTCCCTAGGTGTGAGTGAGAGAGTGAATGGTTGTTTGTCTCGTTTGTCTCTGTGTGTCCCTGTGATGGACTTGCGACCCGTCCAGGGTGTACCCCGCCCCTCGCACAGTGATTGCTGGACATGGGCACCAGCGACCCCCGTGACCCATAATGGAATAAGTGGGTAAAGATAATGGATGGATGGATGGTAAACATATCAAAATGCCAGCTCACTCACATAAAGTCCAACTTCCTGTGACCTGTTTAAACTGAATGTTTCTACTGTGAAGCTGAACTACAGGGCTCCAAAAAGGGTCCAGTTCTCTCACTTGTTTTCCCAGAACCCAGTTGAGCTCAGAGTTCAAGGAACATTTTGAGGGTGCTAAAGTGCTTATCCATTAAATCATAAATAAATATTAAAGGTGCTACAACCATGCACCAGAAAATAAAAAAGCCGTAAGTGTCAAATGTAACAAGGTTATGTCAGGTCCTCTGGATGGATTAAAAATAAACCATCCATCCATCCATTTTCTTTACCCGCTTATTCCATTTTTGGGTCACGGGGGTCGCTGGTGCCCATGTCCAGCAATCACTGTGTGAGGGGCGGGGTACACCCTCAACGGGTCACATGTCCATCACAGGGCCACATAGAGACAAACGAGACAAACAACCATTCACTCTCTCACTCACACCTAGGGACAATTTAGAGTTACCAATCAGCCTAACATGCATGTTTTTGGACTGTGGGAGGAAACCGGAGTACCCGGAGAAAACCCACGCATGCACGGAGAGAACATGCAAACTCCACCCAGAAAGGCCCCTGGACCGGGGCCTGTGACCTGTTTGAACCAAGGACCTGCTCGCTGAGAGGCAGCAGCTCTGCCAGTTGCGCCACCGTGCTGCCCTAAAAATAAATCAAAATTAAACTATTTGAAATGTTTCATCTTTTATCCACAAGACTTCTTCAGTCTGAGGAGCTGCAATAAACTTATAAATAACACCTTTTAATAGCGGATCGACCAGTTTGCTGCTGACATCCAGAACTAGCTGTTCACATGATAAAGGACCATCATCCTAACAACTGATCGTTAGCGCCCTGATGACTGCTTGCTATTCACAGAGGGCTGAGTGATACTAGCAATAACAACTTTGTAAGAGGGGGACAGTTGAACACGGAGGCTCCGCCCCTGTTTAATGATAGACAGGCTCTCTAAGTATAGGTAGAAGTGTAAAATGATTTTATATGATTAGAGGCGTGAATGTATGAAGGTTTCCCACCTGCTTTGCAGCGCGAGTCCCAAATATTAAAGAGCTCAACATCAGACTATTTTAAGGCTGTAAATATGAACCTCTCGTGTTTTCTGGCAGCGCGACGGGGCCGACAGGCTCTGTTGTTATTTTACTGTTCCTGCACTGGGAAAGCTGCTTCTCTTCTCATATAAACAGATTTACCGCTCCTCTAAAACACCACTTCCTGCTGATCAGTCTTTACCAAGTGTGGCAGTCGTGACAGAAAAATTCTCCATCTATAGTCATGACAAAAAAAATAAAATGAAGTACACCGGCTTTGAATCTGAAGGTTTGATGAAACAAAACAAGCACAAAAAAAATCTAATTTTGTCAAAACTTCAAATGAACAACAGCATGTAAAATATTAACGGTGCTTTTTATTATTTCTTGATTAAAACTGAGCTAAATGAGCTCTATAAAGGTAAGGGGGCCGAGATGGTGCAGAGGCAGGGCAGCCGGCTTGGGACCCGAAAGTCCCAGGTTAGATCCCAGTTCACTGCATACCACGTGGTGTCTCTGGGCAGCACACCTCATCCCCAAAATGCCCCCCGGCGCTTTCAATAGCTGCCCACTGCACCACCTGGTGGTGGATGGGTTAAATGCAGAGACTAATTTCACCATTGTATGGAAACATACAGTGCTGACACTGTGATGACATTATTATTATAAATGTTAGTTTGCTGCTTACATTTAACACAATGACAAAGTGGAAAACCATCAGCAGTGACCATAAAGAAGCAACCTTTGCTGTCCATCAGTCTGAGAAGAGTTAAAAAGTCTTTTTCTCACAACTTGGAGCTCATCATTTAGCATGAAGACGTTTCATAAATAGGAACCATTTAAGATCAAAGGACTGGATGTCTCCACAGATTCACCCCAAAGAGAAGACTGTGCAATGCTCAGAGTACTTCAGTAAGACTATTTATTTGAGCAAAACTTGATTAATCTAACATTTTGCTGGAGTTTCAACTTTTAAGAGACTTTTTTTAATACTTCATCTCCTTAGTTTTTGTGCAATAATACAACCTGACATGAGGTTTAAAAACATTAGAAGGGAACAATTCAAAGAAGTTAAGTGATGGTATGTTCCAACGCAGCAGCAGAGGACTCAGTATTAGCAGCAGGTAGTCATGGCCGTCTAAACACAGCTAACATGAGCTAACAGCTAATGTTTATCATCACGTGAACTAACAGCTAA